GAGTAATGTGGATTTCTGGGGAAAGTAACAGAGATGTTAAGTAACCAGGGAAGCAAGTGCACAGAGAAGGCATCAGAGGTAAACACACACAGATTCCAAGTGCCCAGTGAGGTGCAGGGTAAAAAAAGTTAAGAAATCACACCAAATTTGTGATTTTATTTATTTTATTTTTTATTTTGAGGCAGTCTCATTATATTGTTCTGGCTGTCCTGGAACTCACTGTGTAGACCAGGCTGGGCTTGAACTCACAGAGATCCACTTGCCTCTCAAATGCTGGGATTAAAGTTATGTGTCACACAATGCCCAGGCAAGTACAACTTCATTTTTAAAATTTCATCAACTTTTTAAAAAGTCAAAATCTCCCCATGAAGACAAGGATGGCACTAAATTTCAAAGCTTCCTGTCTCTAGTTCTCAAGTACTGGGATTACAAGTATGCATCACCATGCCTGGTTTATGTGATGCTGGGGACCAAGCCCAGGACCTTGTGCACACTAAGCAACCCTCCCCAACTCTTCAGTGCCTTCTGTACTTAGATCAGTGATTGCAAAACCTTTGGTGGTTTCTATACAGCAGTGAAGACAACCAGTTGCAAGAACTAAAGAATGAACAGACTTATTTCTGGTTTCCATCCCACCATGTAATGTAAAGAACTTGAAATTCATCATTTCTCATCTTACAGGAAGAATGGAAACTACATTTCTTTTCAGTTCTGTAAGACAACTGAGATCACAGCTTACAGAGAACTGACACTGGATCCAATCAGGGGTCAGAAAACATAAATGAAAAACAGCTGGTTACTAAAGAATAAGCATAGGTTCGGCTTAAAAGATAAAACCTTCTGGGAGCCAGCTCATTTTTATTTTACCTCCATAAGCCCACCAGAGAAACGGAAAGTAACTGTTCTGAAATACACCTGAAAAATCATTCTGTTCTCCTTAGCTAGCACGGATCCTTACAGAATCCCATTTCACCAGAGCTGAAGCAACTTGGAGTTTACCAAGGCCTAATAGATACAGGGAGAGGAAGTAACCTAACTACTACGCCACTTAGTCATCTTGTCTCATCCAAGAGGAAAAAAGGGCTGAGAAACAAACGTGGTGGTATAAACTTGCAATGCCTGCATTTGAGAAGTGGAGCTGGGAAGATCACACTTCAGGGACAAGAGACCAAGACTATCAGCAGTCTCTTTCCCAGGACATCTTACACAACAGTAGGGCTTCTGTAATACAAAAAGAAGTATAAAACAACTTCAAGGCTCCCAAAATTTAGGAAGCCTCTAAGGTAAACCTAAACACACACACACACACACACACACACACACACACACACACACACACACACACCCACCCACCCTAAACTAGAACACTAGAGGACACCCAAGCTTTAATCATTTAACACCTTTAGCAAAGAGTAAATACAGCTTAATTACTAATCATAGATCTCACTCTCAACAACAAAATCTGTAGAAAATATGTAGGGCATATTGAGAGGCAAATAAAACAACAGAATCAGACTCAGATATGGCAGATATTTTGGAATGGTCGAAACTATGAATTTAAAATAATGAATATGCTCAGGGTTCTAATGGAACAAGTGGATAATATGCAAGAACAGATGAGTAACATGCTAATCAGATAACCCCTAGTTATTCCTCTCTGCCAGAAATGAGAACAGGTCTCTCAGCAGTCTGGAGGTTAGGACAAAGAACTGACAGGCTCTGTTGTGACCATCTGAGCACAGTCTCACTCCAGGGCAGTTCTCCCTCTGGGACCCTCTGTAGAATAATAAAGGCCTGAAGCACTGTGGCCTTGCTGCTGTAGGGTAAGTTTATGGTCCTACCTAGTGCTACATCTGCATCTTAGAGGCCACACCAAGCTAGATCCCTCCTTATGGGGCCTGTCTACCCATAAGGAAACCAGTAGCAATCACAAACCCCTTTGCCTTGGGGATTTGAAAGCTAGTTCTTCAGGATTCATGCCATGTTATACATGACAACCATCCCTTCTGAAGTCCCTTTTTGGGATTCTGAAGCAAATACTCTCCCCGCCTGTCCTTCAAGGTCCTAAGTTCTAAGGTCCAATGTTCTAAGTCCTCTAATTCAAGGCCCAATCATACCCCCTTCCACATACGCCCAGCCAACTCAATGGCAGTGAGGCTCTAAACCAACTCATTCTGCACGGTAATCTCACATCAGTTCCTTGCCACACACCTGCCTCTCTTTTTTTAAGTTATAACAGTAAACAGAGGAATATTCAAAGAATAAATTATAAACAAAATGAGAACATGGAAAGAATTAAAATAAAACAACTGGGTAGAGAAAGGGGTTGTTTTTAGCACCACAGGTGATTTGTCCAGATCTGTGATGTGAATAGGTAAATTGCAAAATGGGAAAATCAAGTGAGAAAGTGAAAAAAATGGTAAATTCTTCAAGAGATATTTTAAACAATCAAAAATAAATTCTAAAAAGGATGAGAAATAATGAGTTACAGCAATAACTAAGTTTGAAACTTTGTTTTAATCAGGTAACATGGCTACCTCAAAAAGTTACAGCAGCTCACATCTCAAATCTTATTGTCCTTAACCATTCATTCTGAATGTCATTACTTAAATTCCCAAGGTTTAACATTTTCAGCTACTCTGAGAGTACAAACTAACACCTTACACTGAACATTCTACAAAAGCTAATTAACAGATTAAACTTCAATGACTGTGGAGAGACTGGAATGTTGCAGGTTCAGAGGTTGACTACAATTTACCACGATTACCATTAGCCCTGAATTGCCTTTTCTTGCCTACCTCTGTATCTGACCTAATATCCTTTGGATTACAAAGTGAAACCTTTTGGAATGTATTAAAAGACCACTGATTTCCACCAACCAAAAGGCTTTAAGAACGTTATCAGATAGCATCCGAGGCCTATAACAGATACTTCCTCACTTTACTGAAACCTACTGTCTGCCATGTCCACCAATATACATGGAAAGTGCATTGATTTATGATTTTGTTGCTACTATAAAAGTTCATGAGACATTTACCACATTAGAGCATGGTATTTGGGAAAACCTGAATGTGTGTTCCTGAGCCATGGTCACTCACATTAAGTTCCAGAATAAACCATTTCTTATCCCCTTTGAAATGGTTATTTTTAGATTTTTTTAAATTAACAAGTGTTATATCATTTTGTTTTAAGTTACATAATTTAATTTCACTTTAACATTTCTATAAAGTCAAAAAAGAAAATGGGCAAGAAAAGCCAGTAACCAGTTACTGATATGTCTTTACTCATTTGTTCAGTTAACAAATGTGTATTAAAGACATTCTTCACTCCAGCAGTGTACAAAAATAAAAATCTTTATACCCATGGGGATAGACTTTTTATGAAACATACAGCAAGGGTGAGATTGATCCTGGGAAATATGGTAATATTTCACATATGGGGACATTTGACAGAAATGAGTGAAGCCTGAGATTATCTGGCATACACTATTCCAAAGGACAGCAAATTCTCAGGGCCAGAAATGGGAATGCAATGTTCCTAGTGTGTGTGTGGGTGGTAACGGTGGTGGAGGGGTGTTCCTATAATATTGCAGTGGCAGAATCCAAAGCCGGATCCTGTGGGGGCATGGAAGAACAGGACACTTACTCAGAGGGAAAGGGAAACGCTTAGGGACACTTCTGGGCAGATCTATAATGACTGCCACATGCAGGCTGTTGACCGGTGGACTACTCAGCCAGCCATAGCAATGTATAAAAGATTTGGGTGAAAGTGTTAGGTTTGGATAGCACAGCTACTTCAAAAAGTAAAATTGGCCCTCATTACATAGCGGTATGAGGAACTACAAGGATCGCACTCTCCCAAAACGGGAATGACTGTATGTATGCTGGAAACAAAGTGGAAGTAGTAAAGTGCAAGCTGAAGATGAATTTTGAGAAGTCAATTAATTTCCAAGTGTAGCTGCTTCATTTTCTTTCTTTCTTTTTTTTTTTTTCAGTTTTCTTGAGAGAGATCTTGAATAGAGATGGAACCTTTTGAATCATGAGTATACATGACTTTGAAAGGGACAGGGCAATAACAAATGGAACAACCTGATCCCACAACATATACTCAAGTAAGGGACAGATAGGTAGATTGGTAAACTAAATAAACTTTTAAACACTTTCAATCCAGTTCTATGTCAGTCAGGGCTACACAGTGAGAACCTATCTCCAAATATACACAAACATACATTAAAAATAAAAGCAGAAACTATTCATGAACCTAAGGAAGACTGGGGAATGAGTGGTGTCCTGGGAGCGAATTGAAGTATTTCAAACCTCAGTAAGTGGTCACTTAGATCAAAGCTATGATGGCTTAGTTAACAACAAAAGTGTAAACGGACTGTTGTTGGCTACCGGAAAGCTTTTTTGGTGAAGTGGAAGGATGGCCTAAAGGCTGTATACTCCAATCAAGGGCGAATACAAAGTTCTTTTCCGAGAACGTTCAGTTCAAATGGCCAAGATCTGAGCAGAGAACTGAAGATGTGGCTGGTTTGAGAAGACAGCAAAATGACTAAAATGTGTGAGCATAAATTGGGGAACATTTTAGAGGACATACAAGGAACCACTTTCAAGTTCTACGCCACAGGAGTCCACATATCTTCGAGTTTTTTTTTTTTTTTTTTTTTTTTCTGGCTTAGCAGAATGTTGAAAACAGTTAAGAGTCTTAAGGGAAGCTGGCAAGAGATGGGGGGGGGGGGAAATCCTCTGCTAGAGAACATATTAAAATTAGCTTTAGTTGCTCAGAGAAACCAAGGAACCGGGCCGAGCACAAGAAGGCTTGTTGAAGACCAGAGGATAGAATACAAGCAAAAGCACTTGGAAGCAACAGGAGGCAGGGGTCGAGCACCGCAGAGGGAGTTCTATGAGATCGAATGCGCTGGTTTGGGGGCAGCTCTTCCAAGCCAAGGGGCTGCCTCCGGGATCTAGAGGAACGGACCACGGATCTAGTGCGGAACTTACGCGGAAAAGATGGTCTGCTTGCGGGTGCTCGACGGAGAACCGTACATGGTGGCGACCCGCAGACTAGGGCTCAGCGCCCCTTCCCTAGCGGCTCTGGGGTGCCCGGACCCGGACCCCAACCGCCCGCGTCAGCGGCTTGGGAATGTTTGCCGGGCGTCATGGCGACCGAGGAGCCGGTTTCAAGAAGCGGCCGCGCGGTTGGCTGGCCGCTCGAGGTAGAGGAGGAGGGCGGAGGCGGAGGGGAGGGCAGAGGGTTGGTGGAGCTGGAGGAAGCTCGGGCGACGACTCGGAGGAGGCGGGCGGCCCAGGCCCTAGGCCCCTCCCAGGCTGCGAGTGTCCCGGCTGCAGGCGGATGGATGGGGCGTCTCCAGGCGGCGGCGGCAGCAGCGGAGGCGGCGGCAGCGGCGGTGGCTGTAAGTGCAGCCTCCACAAACCATCTTCCCCATCCTTCGGTCGGGAACCAAGGATGCAGAGGCGCCCGCAGTCCTCTTTCCCCGCTTCCCCTCCCCCACGGCAGAGCGCCGCCCGGAAGACCCTTGACTTCCGGGGCGGGGCTGCCCGAGTATGTGCTGTGTGGGCCGGCCTCTCGGAGGCGCTGCGGTCCCGTGCGCGTGCGCACGCGCCGCTACCGCCCCGCCCCTGCCCGGTCTTTCGGGCTTCGCGGTGGTGGAGGCGCAAATCTTCGCCACTCCCGCGCCACGCCGGGACTACGCTGCGGAGTGAGTTCGCCGGGCAGGCAAGCTTCTGCCCTTTTCGGTCGGCCCTCGCTCCGCGGCAGGGGTGTGGCTTCCTGGCCACTCCCCCGTGGCTCCACCTCTGTGCCCCTGATTTTCTCCAGCTGTCCCAGCCAGTCGTGGACTGTCTATCTGGCAGAGCATCTCTTGAGGTGGTGGGCTCAATCCCCTGGTCTGTCTGCCATTGTCGTTTGGAGCTAGGGGGCGAGAGACTCATAGATGGCATTTCGGAGGACGAGCCGCTCCTGGTGCCTCTCTGCCCCCGAGTGGCCTTATTCTTTTAGCTTGTAATGTTGAGGCTCCTGGCCTGGTGCCCATCTCTGGTCCTTGCATGCTGTGTGACCTTGGGCAAGTCACTCCCCCTCTTCCCATCCGGGTTTCAGTGTTCTTACATTAAATCTCCTCAATCTTTGTAATTTTGCAGAAGACCTTAGGCAATTTTAAGACTTGCTAGGCTTCTGAGGCCGCTTAACTGAGATGACCCGAAATTGGCTAAACCTTTCTTAAATCTTGGGTAAAATACGGAAAACAAATTATTGGGCTCCCTTTTAATCTTTAGCATGCTTACAAATTGCAGGACTCAATTTTTTGTGTTTCTTTTTGCTGAAATTGCTGTGGGGCAGTTGACCTGGTACTCAGGCATCTTTTTGAAAATGTGAGACAGGGTGAACTTGTTGTAACACTGTTTCTGTCTAGTCCCTACTGAGGCTTTCTTTCCTTTAATCCAGATGGTGTGGTGGCTCGATTCTCCCAGTGCCTGGCTGAGTTTCGGACGTGGTTAAGAACCAACTGGTTGAGGTTCAATGCAGACAAGACGGATGTGATGCTGGTAGGCAGGGGCACGATTGGAGATGAAGGGAGGGCAAAAGCAAGCTCCCTCGTGTAATAGAAACATGACTACTGTCTGTTTTAGTGTTGTAAAACTGCTAATGGCCAACCCTTCCAAGACTTGGGGTGAGATAAGAATAACATCAGCAACGTTAAGAATTATAAACACAAGTTTGCAACATGATGATAAAATGGGGCCACTGAATGAAATTGCAGGGAAAAATTATGAAAGGAACCCGTACTGTTCTTTGAAGAGCCAGATTTCTCTATGTGTTTTAGGATGGCATTAATAAATTAATAAATGCAACAGTAATAGTTGTGAAGCCTCCAGATGTAATGTGCTGCTGTGCTTTGCAACCTGCATTCTGCCTGCTAAAGCCGAGATAAATTCAATCTGTCTCAGATGTCATTCGAGAAAAATATTGATAGTAGGTATTTGTCATTACATATACAGTGTAGGCTGTCGTTCCTAAATAAAAATCTTGGGAAATAGTTCAGAAAATAGTCTCCAAAGAGGACTCATGGACTGGGAGAATTTTAAGATCTTAGTTATGCTGTTTTCATCTGTATCAGTCAGAATAATTACATATATTTTCTTGGTGTGCTTTGAGAGGTGCCTGTTGATTTGCACAAATAGGCCTATATAGCAGATATATTACTAGTATTTGAATCAGGTATTGGTGCTGAATAAAAGGTTATACATCTTAGGTAAATGTAAGTTATCAAAGTAGTTTTTGTTGATTGAGGTATTGATTGAAGTGCAATTGTGAACCTAGGTATATTTGTTAGCAACTAAACATCTCTGGAGAGTGTGTGTGTGTGTTCGTGAATGCATGCATGCTGTGCAACATGCATGCACTCATACATACGCCCCTTACAGCTACTATAAGTTGTTTAATAACTTTTTCCTATAGTGTTGGAGTATGAACCAAGGGCCTTACATGCTAGGGAAGTATTTTACCACTGAGTTATACCCCCTGCCCTCATTTAACTTTTGCATGAAGAATTCAGTAATTGGCATAAAAACAAAAAAACAAACAGCACATTACCAGATAGAGTAGTTGTGAGTAACTTAATGTGGTAAAAAAGTTAATGTTAATTTTCCTCAAAACAAGGAGGCTCTTTAGGTTTATTTAGGCCTTATATAGTATTTTTTGTTTGTTTTGTGATAGAAAACAAAAATCTTGCATAAGAATTGGAATCAGCTACATTTTTTTTTTTAATGTTAGCTTAAACAGTTTAATATAGAATTCTGACACAGTTACCACTTTGGATGTCTCATTAATACATTCTAATGATTTTGATCAGGTTATTGGTGAACTTTACCCCACCATGTCCTGCTTTGAGATACATGGTTTTTGTTAGTCCAAGTATAAATTTTGACACTTTGCATTTGAGTACAAAGATGTCTCTTGAATGTATAGAGTGTTGAAGAAATAGAGGTGATGGGTGAAAGTGAGGGAGCAGCTTTTGACTTTTAAGACAGGGAATAATGAGCCAAGCATTTGAACTGTTTTTGAAAAGAGCAGCCTCTTCAAGAGGCACAGTGAGTCTAGGCAAGTCTGTAAACACAGGCAGAAAAGCTTGGAAGGTGGAACTCCCTGGCAGATCCTATCTCTGACAGAGGATCCCAAGGCTCTATGAAACAGGAATATATGAGTAGTGAGTTCTTACACATCTGACACCAAAGGAGTAAGGAAGCATCCTCAGAAAGACATAGCTTTTCCTGAAGGTGGTTTCTGAGGCTCTGAACAATATGATTGTTCATAGAACAAAGTGCAGGTGTGCTGAGTTCAGTAGTAATGTGTTGTGTATTCCTACAGTATTAGATTCTTTTCTCCTTATGTCTAAAGACACTGCACCCCAGTTTATCTTTCCAAGAGGAAATATATAAAGGGAATTTTCCCCACAAAGGGTAATGCCATTTAAAGTTAACATTGATTGGCAATATCAGTTAACTTAAGGAAGATTAACAATAAGAAGTGCCTGTCCAAAATGTTGCAGACTTGATTGTCTGACTTTGAGAACTCTCCATAGCTCAAGGAATCTGAGTCTGTTCTTTACCATTGATGTTTTAACTGAAGAACCAAATTTCAATGAACTAAAGCAAATTATACCTTAGTATTAAATATCAACAATACTCCAGTTTTCCTTTTAGTGGCCAGCTAAAATCCATATATATTAGCCTCTCATGTTTTAGTGCAAAGTTCTCCTTTATCACAATGGTATAGCTATCTTTATTATTTTTATCTGTGCCCACCTCTGGCCCACTCATGTTCATTGTTCTTTGACTTTAGCTTTTCTCATCTAGTGAGAACTATTTGGATAGGAACTGACATTTTTAAAAAGTTCAAAGTAATGCCTTAATTTAATAAAACCATATATACATTATATATATCTGTGCTAAAATATTTATTCCCCTCCAGGAATGGGGGAGGGGGTAGCTTATAATCTTTAAGATATAAAGTGAAAATACTGTACAGTGCAGTTAATGGTAAGAATTGTTTGTAGATTTGGGAACCTTAAAGTTTTCCTTTCTCTTCTTTCCCTTGCTTTTCTTTCAGTAGAAAATGTGCATCAGATGTTTATGTTTAATTGGTTTACAGACTGTCTCTGGATTCTTTTCCTGTCAAATTACAAGGTAATGTCCTTTCACTTAGCAGCTACTTCATATACCTGTAAATGCAGTTTATTCATGCACAAATTGTTATTGGGCTTGAGACTTTCAGGTTTCATGTTCAGTGTTTAGAAATGGGAAAAGGTAGCCGGGCATTGGCTGCTCACGATTTTAATCCCAGCACTCGGGAGGCAGAGGCAGGCAGATAGATCTCTGTGATCATGTTCGAGGCCAGCCTGGACTACAGAGCTAGTTCCAGGACAGCCTCCAAAGCAATACAGTGAAACCATGCCTTGAAAAAGCAAAAAAAAAAAAAAAAAAAAAAAAGAAATATTTTAAGAAATCAACATTCCCCCATATTGCATTGTAAGTGTGAAGTTTAAGAAAGTTACTTGTGTACATTTTTGCACAATGTATTATTAATCATGGTATATTACTTATAAGTAATGAGTGTCATTTAACTGATGATTTCGGTAGTTATTTTGAAACTTCATTAAGAAGAATCCTTAATTATGTAGGAAAATAGCTAGTCTTTTAAGAAAAGCTTTTTTAACTTCTGGTTTCGTAAAATAACTTACTGCCCATTTTATTATCAGCCTTAAATCTAATTTAGTCAGCATCTACTTTAGGAAATTGGAATAAATCATTGTTCCTGGCCATTATCAGTATGGACCTCAAGGCCAGTTAGCAACCCTACACCGGTGCATTAAAACAAACTTTCTACTTTCAGGTATTTTAGGCATTGCAAGTTAGTAGGTTCTGTCTCCGTGCAGTCAAATAGACATATTCATCAAAGAGCAGCTTTTCATTACATTTGAAACTTTCGTGTATTTGTCCAAAAATTCATCCAATGCAGAGCTGTGTTGAGCTAGTGGTGTCGCCAAAAAGTGAGGGGGAAAGTGAGATCTGAGGATGCTCACTACCTAACATCCTCTGCTCTTCATCTTTGCATTCTGCCAGTTTGGGAAGCTGGGATTTTCTTGCTGGGGATCACCAGGGGAAGTATTTGTCAGAGCGCGCTTCTTATTGCTGTTGTGTCCCAGCAACGTCTGTTTTCTTGCTAAAACACTTGAGAAGT